AATACATCGATGTGAGCTGAGAAAATTAATAATTCAATTATTTGCAAAACTTCGCAAGTCACGATTGTAGTTCAGAAACATTATCATCTCGAGCCTGGCTGGAGACATTCGCTTCCGTAGATCAGACAGCACCAGCTTAGCGAGAGAGAAGAAGCGCTCACACTCGTTAGACGTTGGCGGGATGTACGCGACGTCGACGTAGTGCGCAATTGCGTTTCTTGAAGACGACCGTTCGAGATCAGGCGACCTAAATTTAGCGCAGGCTAATTTTTCCGCGACGTTCAGCGCGTCCCCACGCTGTAACTTGACTAGACCTTACTCAAAATTGGGGTTGTTCCCGCTGTTGACAGCCATAAATTAATAATTAAATTAAAAAATTAGGATTAATTTTTACGCATATTATTTTTTCGGGTTCCCTGGTCGGTACACATGGGTACTAGTACTTGTTGTACATGATCAACCTATTCATACGAACACTACCGGTAGGTGTGTATCCACCGATTCCTTTTTGTAAGCCAGAAGTTAAGAAATGGATTAGCTGTTCGACTTTCAATGGGCACAAATCGTCACCTCTGATCAAAACGACAAGAACATAAGATCAATTTCAGCTCATCCGCATAGGCGAAGTTCGTGTTGATGTACTCATAGAGCAAAAAGCTGTGCGCCCTGGTACTTCACTCACCACGGCAACTCCGACGTAGAAGTGGTGGGGTCGGCGTCAAAGAATTTACCAGAGTCCTTGAGCGACACGTTGGAGACGATTTTAGCCATCGAAGCGGCCGAGTCAGCGGGTTTGACGTGGCCTTGATGGCTGTTCATCTCAGTGTCCACGAAGCCTGGGTTCGCGGCAACAACAATGATGTTGCGGTCACGTAGATCCAAGACCAGTGAGCGAGTCACCATGTTGAGTGCAGCCTTGGAAGCGACATAGCCATAGTGACCGCGGACCTGGGCCTCATTTTCCGCGTTGTTGTGGCTGATGCTGCCCACAATGGACGAGACCTGCAACACAACAGCATCGCCTCGGGTCTTGACCGCCAACTCGAGATTGGGCAACAGCGCGCGCGTCACCAGGAATGGCCCGGTGACGTTGACCTCGAACTGTTGCATGAACGAGTCTTTCGTGGCCGTCGCGAAGATCGTGGGTTGGGCGATGCCGGCGTTGTTGATGAGAAGGTCGATGGGCACTTCGTCCAGCTCGCTCGCCGCTTCAAGCACAGAGGACTCGTCACAGGTGTCTAGCGTGACAATCTTGAGCGGCGAGAGAGCCTTGACCTAATTGCAATGTGGCATTAAGAACTTATTATAAGTGATGATAGGGGGTTTAGCAGCATACCTTGTCGGTGTTACTAGTGGCGCGAGCGGTGGCAATCACGTTCCAGCCAGCCTTGGTGTAGTGCTCTACCAGCGCGAGACCGATCCCACGGGTGCTGCCCGTGATGAGAACCGTTTTCTTAGTGTCTGTCATGGTCGACGGTGGAGTTGTTGACGCTGTAGAGTCTTAAGCTTGTGAACGTTGATGAGAATTGAAAAATGACATACAGAAAGCGAAGTAGACTTGCAGAATGTTGCTCATGCAAATAAAGATTCAGTTTGCCAGTTTTAGCGTGATTAGACACGGACGACGAAATCGCCCCACTTGGTCCGAGGTGTGACTCATGTTTTTTCAGATTCACTTCACAGATATCTTCTGTGTCACGAGTGAGTTCTGAAGTGCCTTTTTAAAAAATAATGAAGGGAATCGATAGTATCTACAGATTACAATTACTCAGTATTATGGTGCTCCCGGTGTAATATCAGCTATTACTGCCACGCCCTAATTTGAAGAATGAACTCCAGATTCTGGACCTGTCGAGGGCTGAGATTCCTGTACAGTCCTACGGCAAGCACTTAGGACAGGGCCCCGGCAATATCTGACAGCGGACTTCAATGTAAATTTCGTGGATTGCTCGATTACGACCTCGGAGTGCAAGTCTCGCCTGCGTCCGTAATATCGCACTTCGCTCCATCGAAATGACAATAAGTCTACTCGGCGATAACGTTCACACTCTTCCTTACTTCTTCCGCCCCACCTTGCACGGGTAAACAGTAAGAAGAATCTTCATCGCACTCTTCCAGCAGCAAAACCATCATAAGTCATGCCGTCTCTTCACCCGCTTCTACCGGCACAAAAACTGGTCCGACTCGACAGTGCGCCGTGCCGGTTGACGCCACCTGCCGACGTCATGGGCTCCCCGAGCGCGTGCGATGAATGCGGCAAGAAGTTCAAGGTGTTTGGCCTCAAGAAGAAGTGCAAACACTGCATGGACGTCGTGTGCAAGAGCTGTCTGGCCGCGCACCTCGAGCTCAAGCACACGCACCTGAACGGCCCGCCGCGCGGCCTGCGACGTCGCAAGTCGCTCGAGATTTTCGACGCGGCAGGCGACGACGACCAGGAGCTGCAGTTCCTGTCCCCCATCGGCTCTCCGGACTTGGAGCTCGAGTACGCAGACCCCGAGTCTCTGGACGTGCTGGACGGGGTGGACGGAGTGGACGCCGTCAGCGACGAGGAGGACGGCGACTCGGACGACGACGAACTGGCCATGACGACGCTGGTGCGACAGTCTTCTATTGAGGAGGAGGAGATCCAGTACCGCGAGATGCACAAGATCCAGGGCGCCGTGGCGACGTGGGCGTTGAAGGAGAAACAGGCGAGAAGGGACTTGCGCGTCAGCAAGAAGGAGAGTTATTGCCCTATGGGCCCTGTCTTCCAGGAGGTCTGTGACTATGAGACGTGCAGTGCGTTTGCAGTGAGCTATGCAGTTGCGGCGACGGTGGCGGTCTGGGCGGCGTTTGGCCTGCTACTGGCGCTGTACCTGCGCGCGCGTAGTCTACCGGCCGGGTTCAGCTACGTGCTCTAAAGAAGGCTGTAGGCTGGGGGAGAGATTTAATACCCTCGCAAGATCAGATAGTGAATTACATGTAAGCTAGTTGAGGATGCAGCAGTACTGTAGACGGTCTTGGATGTGCTCTGTGTGAAGAGAAACAGGATACGGCGAAGACAACGCACATTGAACAGCCTGAAGATTTTTGTGAGTCTTTTTTTTTTAGGCTGGGGAAAAGATTTTGCGTCGTCCTCATTCAATTCTGACAGCGTAGCATATTTTAAAGCTACAGGGATACACTGTCGTTGGTGGACTGTATGGACTCAGTACCCCCTAGCAGAGGAGGACAAGCATAATGCACTCCACAGCTGAACAGGCACCGGAGATACCATTTTGCACTTTGCACAACACTAATTTACAGAATTTGGTTCTCTCTCAAGAGGCCGCTAGTGTAGTGTGAGCACTTTGTTGTATGAGCGTTTGCTCGTTGCACCCCGGTACACTGTAGCAGTTGGAAAGATCTGTACGTACAGATCTTTCCAACTGCTTGAGTGAAATATAAAAAACTGGAAAACTAAAGTGGCCTTCTGCTTCGTTTCAATAATACTTTTTTTTGCTGATGATAAGTGGATACTACAAGTACAGTACTATGGAAACTTCATTTAGCTCAAACACTTTTGCGAAGTCCAAACAAATGTCGAGATCGTCACAGCCGCTATTCAGCTCCACCGTAATAAGTAAGATACATGACAGGTACCTATGCCTACATTGCAGAGGTTTAGTTATCCCAATGCATTTCTATTTTATGAAAACGGCAATTAAATGAAGACACTTTTCCATAATCTATCCGTCCAAAACGTTAGGTAATTTATCTTCAATGAGAAGACACGTACGAGGGGGGCCAAGTTCGGTACGACCGCGCATCGGTTGTCCCAGAGTTCATTCCTCAACCTCCTCTTCGGTGCTGACAACTACCCCAGCTCTCCTGTTTCTACTACTGCCACTTGGGGCACGAGTTGCCTGCTGGGTTTGGCCCTTCGCCAGAGCAGGGTAAATCATGAAATTCCGACAGCGAGTAGGTCGCATCATACTGCACAGAGATCGGGATGTCGGCGGACGTGAGTTCGGCAGCGAGGATGCCGGTGATGGTCACAACTGTGGCAGGCTTTTTCGAATTCATGGATGGCTTCAAAGGCCGGCGACGTCGCCACCGCCGATTGTCGTCCTTACCTACTGTCTTTTAACGGCACGGACTGCGTCGCCCCTGCGGATGCCCACTGCGTTCTCATCCAAAGCGACGTATGGGGTTGTTCATTCCTGAAGAAGGAATACACTTCGGGTGTCGATTCGGAGACCACTGCCGCATATGGTGGGGAACGACCCGATACGACTACCGACAATGGTGAAGGTGATCAGGTTGACACGATGCGACGGCGCAGAAGAGTCCTTGTCCTCCGACGGAAGGGGTCCCGGCGTCCTACCCGACCGGGGAGAGCTTGACACCCTGCCCGGTCGAAGAATCTTCAACACCGTATTCGACTAAGGAAGGTCTGACGCCTTGCCCGACGGAGGAGGTCTTGACGCCTTATCCGACAGAGAAAGAACTGTCGCCCTACCTGACCGAAGAGAACTCGACGCAGTACCCAGCCGATGAGGTCTCAGTGTTATATCCTGGTGCGGGAATTCTGACGCCGTCCCGACTGAGGAAGTTTTGTCATCGTACCCGCCCGTAATTTCCTCGACGGGGTACTTGGCAGAAGAGGAGTCCGTGGCATACCCGACCGAAGAAGAATGGACGCCGTACTCGACCGAGAAGGCCTACCCGACCGAAGTAGTCTTGACGCCCTACCCGAGTGAAGAAGTCTCAACGCAAACCCCATCGAGAAAGTCTCGACACCGCGTCCGATCGATAAAGTACTGACGAACTACCCGACGGAGGGAGACTACCCAACTGAGGACGTTGTAGCAGAGTACCCAAGTGAAGAAGCCCCGGCAGAGTATCCGATGGAAGAGCAATACCAGACTGAAGAGGTCTAAACACAGTATCTGACCGAAGATGTGCCGACGTTGTACCCAATCGACGATATCTCGACACACTACCTAACCGACACAATTTTAACGCCATGCCCGACGGAAGAGTCAACGCAGTTCCCTACAGAAGAAACCTCGACGCTGTAGTCAGCCGATGAGACTGAGACCACTGGGGAAGTGTCGACGGAGTACCCAACCGAGGAAATCCTGGCGCCCTACCCAACCGAAGAGACCTCGACATCCTACCCGACTGAGGAGGCTTTAGCACCATACCCGAGCGAGGACGCTTCCGTAAAGCGTCGTCCTCGCTCCGACAGAATATCTTATTAAAGATGACTCGACGGAATAAGTGGCTGAAGTAGTGCCGACGGAGTTTTCAACACAGGAAGTCTCAACGCAATACCCAACTGAAGCGATTCTGACTGAGACCCCGACTGATGAAGTCTCAACACCGTGCCCTACCGATGAGGTTACCACGCAGCCTCCGACCGAAGCAGTCACAGCGCAGCATCCGACCGAGGATGCTATGACGCAGCCACCACCGACCGAGGATGCTACGACACAGCCTCCGACCGAGAATGTTACGACGCAGCCACCGTGACAGCGCAGCCACCGTGACAACGCAGCCTCCGACTGAGGAAGTCACAGATGAGCCCCCTACCACACAGCCGCCGACGACGTCGCCGCCAGAATCGCCGTGCACTAACCAAGGTACAAACGGTATTGGGGTGGAGAACAAGGTCCGCTACTTCAACGGTGGAATCTTTTCCTCGACGACAGGCCTCCGAAATGCTCAGTCGTGGCACTCGTGCTGCGATTCGTGCTGGGCTAACATCAACTGTGCTGCGTTTAGCTTTGAGCAAACATCTTCCACTTCCCTGTGCGAGTTGACGACTTTGACAACGGTGGACTAAACAACTGAGCAGCAACAGCATTCGTCAACCATTTTTCCTTAATAAAAAATCAAGTAGTTTCAGAAACGTTTCTAACACTTATCCGACTTCCCAGACTTCCATCTGTGACTTCCCAGTCGTCTTCGTACTTAGTCGCGTGCCGTCCGCTGAGCCAACCAACGCCCTCCCGGCGGGAGTCCCGCCTCCCTCGACCAGCTCCGAGTCATTCTCCCTTTGAATCGTCGAAGAAGCGCCCCGACCGCCTCCCGCCACCCTCCAAAGGAAGCATGAGCAAGCTGAACTCCGAGCTGCTGTCGCAGGCCGTGGACGACATCCTGGCCTTCTCTGCCGGCGAGACCGTCACCATCAACGGTGACGAGCTCAAGGGCAAGAAGCGTAACTTTAACGAGACCATCGAGCTGCAGATCGCGCTCAAGAACTACGACCCGCAAAAAGACAAGCGTTTCAGCGGCACGTTCAAGCTGCCCACCGTGCCGCGCCCCAACATGAAGATCTGCGTGCTCGGTAACGCGGTGCACTGCGAGATGGCCGAGAAGGAGGGCTTTGAGTTCATGACGGTGGACGACCTCAAGAAGTTCAACAAGAACAAGAAGGTTATCAAGAAGTTTGCCAAGAAGTACGACGCCTTCCTGGCCTCCGACACGCTCATCAAGCAGATCCCGCGTCTGTTAGGTCCGGGTCTTAACAAGGCCGGCAAGTTCCCGACCCTCGTGACGTCCAACGACTCGCTGACCGAGAAGGCCGAGGCCGTGCGCGCCACCATCAAGTTCCAGATGAAGAAGGTCATGTGCCTCAACGTCGCCATTGGCCACGTGGGTCTGGACAAGCAGCAGATTGTGGTCAACACGCAGCTGGCTGCCAACTTCCTGGCCTCGCTGCTGAAGAAGAACTGGCAGAACATCAAGGTGCTGTACCTCAAGTCCACTATGGGCCCCGCCGTGCAGATCTTCTTCTAGGTTTTTCTGTGCTGCCTTTAGTGCTGTATGGGTTACTGTGACTGGACTGAAAAGACAGTCAGCAAGACGTCTCACCATTGCATTTCTGGTGCAATGGAAGCTACTTCGACTTTGAAAAGGTTAACAATTTGAAGGGAATTTCGTTACCAGCAATTTGTGTTTTTATTTTTTTGCATCTTTATAACATGGCGGCACCGGAGCCAAGATATTTTTATAAAACAGTAACAAATATCGAGCTCTGTGATGTAGCAACAATTTTTTGGTGCTTTGCGAACGCGTTGTATTTTCTAGCGATACATGTTTCTTCCTGATAACTGACCGGGTCAAACCGGACACTACAGGTCTCACTTTCCAATACAAAAATAAAGGACCTACATGTACAAGTACTGTACTAATGCGTGACCAAGTGTCAGATTTTTTTTTACCGTTTAGCGTGGTTGTCATTTAGCTAAATAAAATGGCAGCAGCTGCACTGTGTAAGAAAAACAATACAAGTCACCGGTAGCTGGCATTTTAAGCCTTTAGCCTGATCATAATGAACACTCTACGCTGTAGAGGCTGCAGAAAGCACCGATATCTGATACATTGACTTCGAACAAGATTTTACTTCAGTCCGCTGATTCTTCTCAGTGCGATTCGTACCGCACGTTATTCTCTTTTTTTACTCTTCAAAATGATGATGTACAGTGAGTAACCATTTCTGCAAAGTTTGTCGGATTTCTTTTCCCAAACTTCCTTCTGCTCATTTCCAATTCTGCTGCATCAAACTCCACTTCCCAGCATACCTTTATCCGAGTTTTTGTGTTCATGAACCTCTTTGTGGCAGTCGTGTTGTATTTAGCAGCACTCCAATCTGCATGGTGATACAATTAATCATGACGAAGTGGAGCCCTGAAACCTGTAACGGTATCGGAAACGGTAGCACTTAAGTTCAAACCGATGCTACTAATTGACGGTGGGTGCGTGTCGTTCCCAGCGGTGAATGTGGCTGGGGAGACCAGTGGCGGACTAAAGCCGTGGGATGGGACTGACGGCTGCGAGGAAGCACCCCTGGGCTCACAAGTTTACGGCCGATCCTCGTGGTACGAAGATAAATGGGCAATGATGTTCGCATGGTACTTTCCGAAAGCCTTTTGGGCTGGCATGCCCTCGAGACGACACGACTGGGCGAGTATGGTGGTGTGGATTGACAATCCGGACTTGGAGACACCAAAAATTCTTGGTGTATCGCTGTCGACGTCAACAAACCGCTATTCGAAGGACACGGGATCACCTTCAGAGGGCTATTTTGCTGGTTTCCAAATATATGGCAGACGTGGCAATCTAACTCGCACCCCTGGTTCCAACACTTCGATTAGAGTTACTCATTCGACTGAGCTGGCCTTCAGCTCAGCGTATTTGGACTTTTCCGCCGAAGATGGCGAGTATCAGGACCTCATCATGTGGGAACAACTTACGGAAGAAGCGCAGCTGGCTCCGGATTCAACGGATTTTGGTAAATCAAAGGTGCCGTTTAACGAAGACAATTTTGGCGACAAGCTCGAGAAAGCATCGCCATTCTAGATGGCCTCTCTAGTCCGCCGTCGAATACACTTTCAAGGTCTATTAATACAAGCATAGGATGTTGCTAGCTACAGCTGTAGGTAAGTGGCAGCAATGTGCTTTAAATAATCAAACTGTAATTCGACGTAGTGAACAAATGGTGTTGCCCTTTTAAAGGCACCTTCATCATCAACACCAGCCTGGTTGTCGTCGCTCCGTGTCGACACGCGAGAACGGCGGTGTATGCGACTCTCACTGGACTTCCGACGTACCGTGATCGCCAACTCTTCCTCATCACCGCAATCATCCATAGCGTCCTCCAGACTCTCAGCCGACGTCGTGTTCTCCTCGTCCTCTTCCTGCTCACTCTCCACGTAGTTTGACACCATCTGAGCCAGCAAGATCTTCGTCGCCATCAGCTTATGGTCTTTTCAATTATTTCTTAAATACTCTTAAGTATTTTTTTTTGGGATTACCTGAGCATTTTTGATAACTTATTTGAGACTGCGTCAAACAAAATGATACTTACGAACCATTTAAAGTTACCGAGATAATCGAGCTTAAAGTTGGTTAATTGATTTTCGCATTTTGTTTGACGCAGTCTCATTTGACTGAAGAGTCATCTGCCATAGTTTTTAATACAAACCTCTTTTTCATTATGCACCTCTCACAACCAACCATGACTTAAAATACGCTGCTACTTCGCAGCCAGCTACACGACACAGCTTGCTGGCTTCAACACTCTTCAATTTGAGTAACAAAACCCACTCAGCCTTTTCGCTTAACTACCATGGTCCTTGCCCTGCACCCCCGCCACGCCATACCATCTACGCGCCAGCCCAGGTTAGTGCGCTCTACTTCTGACCGTGCCGTAACGCTAACGACGAGATCGTCTCTGAGTACTTCCGCTATCACTGCGGCCCGGTACGGAAGCAGACCCGGCGGAACGGCTACTCTAACCTCATGCAGTACGTCCGCTGGACTACGAGGCCGTTTATGCAGCGGGGCTGCTCGTAGCTTTAGCGTCAGAGGAAGACGTTCGACTCAAAGAGTCACTAATACTAAGTTCTTTATCCAAAGGGACACTTACAGCCCAAGACCAGGGCTCAAAGGTAACACCTTTACTTTTTATGCTTCAAAACCAGAAGTGTTTTTATTTACTATTATTGCGGCCAAGCCGCCTAGGGGGTAAATGTATCTCTTTAATTATCTAGCATAGTAAAACCTAATCAAATGCATAACGTGTGGCTTCAGCAACGTACTGAGAGACCTTGTTAACTCTCCAACTTATGTACTGAGAGTTTGTTAACTCTCCGGGTACTTCGTACCCCTGTGTGTTCACATCATGTAACCCCGTTACACTCTCCCTCACTAAGATGAGAACATACCGTTCTCGAACTTTCCTCAGCGAGGTCACGTCTTGTCAAGACGACGGAGGTCACTAGACCTCACCTCTGCGTTCTGCAGCTCCACGAGCTCACAAACGCGTTCGCATCCTTGATGCCTGGCACTTTCACTCCGGCCCACGGCCCAACGTCTCCAGCGCGTCGCGCCGCCCCTGCCTCGTCGGTCCCAGACCCCCAACTGCGCTCCGCAACTGCTCCAAGAGCATCTTCGTCTCTTTCGGTAGCACAGTACCACCAAGAGTATCGCCGTCGCCACGGTCAACGCTCCATGAGCCGTCAACAAGAAGAGAGCAAAGCTCAAAGCTCGTCAGAGCCGCGGGCGCCGCCCAGAGGGAACGATGTTATGTTCTCGGAACTCGAAGAGGGCGAAGTCGATTACGACGAGCCCATGGGTAGTGAGGATAACTCCAACCCAACCTCTCCGAGGTCGCACACTGGTGCCGCGTCTTCCCCAGCTTCCTCTGTGAGGTCTAGCCGCTCAACGGCGCAATCTCAAACAAGAAGAGACCTGCGGACACCGCATCCGTTCTCTGAACGTTCGAATCCGATTCGCTCGCTGCGCGATGCGCCACCGCTATCGTCGCGGTATGACGAGGAAGATCGATACGATCACAACGTCATTACGAATGACCTGGACGAGGCCCAAGGCCGTCAGTTGTCCAATGAGCAGCGCTCGCAGTCGTTCCGACCTGTGGTCCGACCACTTGTTCTAACGTCACGCCGTGACTACGGCTTCCAGCCGCGGAACCCTGCCGAAGCGGCCCGCCTCGCGGCGCAGCAGCCGCTGAACACGTACACGTGTGGGCCTGCGGCCTCGACTGCTGATGAGCAAGTGCAACGGCACCGGCTCCGAGAGCGATATCTGACTCCACAAGTCACAACTCCTCAGGAGTATCAGGCGCGCCTGCATATGCAGCTCAACCGCCAACCGGTTCCCTCCATGCGAACCATTCCGGTTGTTCTCAACCCTGGGGAATCCCAGCGTGCTTATGAAGCACAATTCCGAAGCTGGGTGGAGGGAGCTCGACGGCTCCCCTCCTACAATGCTCTTCGAGCAAGTTTCTCTGAAACTGATATTCGTCTTGAGAGACGTTTGCGCTTAGACTTCGCTAAGTCGAAAGCACGTCGACGGACACTGGGACCCCGTCCCCATCACCTCGAGGCGTCACCACCTCTTGCTCATGCTGCGAGCACCGCTCATTCCTATGAGCCGGCTGCTCCAGCCACTGGTCGGAGCTTGAGCTCAGCCACCGACCTGTCATCCCCGCGTTCTAGCGGCGGGAAGCGCTCGGCGCCTGACGACGCGGTCGTACGCCGTAGCGGCGGGGCAGTGAGTGTGCCCGATCAAAAGCGTCGACGACGTCAGGGCAGTCCTGCCGGAGGACAGCCTCAAACTCCCAAGAGTTTTGTGAGTGAGGATAACCCCTCCATTTCACAAGGTACTGAGTACGACCCTGGCGCATGCGCCTCGCCATCAGGCGTTCCACATGGAAGTGGAGCTCGCCGTGCTCATCGAGCAGAGCAGGAGGAGGCCGAGCCTCAGCTGGACTCTCGCGTCGCGAGTCGCAGCGACGTGTTCGCGCTGGAGCAGCGTGTGGGTTCCCTGAACCGGTATCTCCATGATACGACTGACTCTCTGAGTCGCCTTGCAGATGGTCTCGATGAGACGAACCACCGCGTGGACTGGTTTGAACAACCACAGTCGGTTCAGAACCGAGTCGCGGACCTTGAGCGTCAAGTCGCTCAGCTGCAAGGTCAGATCGACTTGCTGTTGCGTCTTGTGGCCCCGCCACCTGCTGTCGCTCAGCCCGCCGTGGTTCGGCCTCCCGCTGTTGCGCAGCCTGTCGTGCCAGCAACCGTTGACGCCAACGCTCCGCGCTCAACTGAGCAAGGATTCTGATACGACTGAGTAAGCCAACGTAGAAAAACTGGATGCGTGCGCATCTTCTTCGGAAGATTAAGCGTATACGCTAGGCCCTTCTTGGACCACGACCTTG